AGTATTAACTTTAATCGCCTAGCCGGGATAGCCTCTAGTAGTCACCACTTCTCACTTACCTTAGGTCTTAGTAGTCAATATGGGAGTTAGCACCTAGGCTCTTAACTGTTCTTGTTAGTATTCTTCCTAATCGTATTTAGCGTAGTTATTCTTAACTTTAGTATTCTTCTTCTTCAACTTGCAATAGGATTTACATAATACAGACTCTTTTCGTGTATTACTTTCTAGTATGTGTTTAACAGCTTCTTATGTAACGTTTATTCAGGCGATATGAAGAAGTATAATATTTAGGTGTATAACAGTCAAGTCTAACATAGTCTACGCCGCGCACACGCCGCCATCTAATTTTCGCTTAGTCGATCCTTCGTGTCATCTTGAATCTCTTCTTGTTCAATCGGCAGATCGACATCCTTCGCACTACTGGGTAATTCGCACGCGCCAGCATGCTCATGCCCTATGGGCTCAGGGAAGCAAGGCCTCTTGTCAACCCGCGGCAGGCATCAAGGACTTCGGTCTTCAAGCATTCTTCGCTGCACGCTTCTTCCCTTTCAGAGGTGTTGTGGGCACCCACCGGAATCCCACGTTTTTTGTGTGTCTCGTCGGGTTCACCGATGCGCTTCTCACTCCACTGACCTGCGGGCACGACAAGCGGTGCTCATGTTGGTCCTAGCCAGCATTTTGAGGCCCTTCCAACCCCCTCCATCCCGTCTTTTTTTTTCAAGAGCATTAACAGGCAAATAAAGGTCAGACGGTCAAATCTAACCTGATCACTGCCCCTACGGTACCTGGCGCAGTGAAGCCTCTACAGAAATTCGTAGATTGAGAGGACATTCTCTATCGCACTCTAAAAGTAGCCGTGCACTCTACGGCTTTCCTTGAATTTTTGCTACAAGAAGGAGTTTAGAAATGGGATTGCCAAGTAAGCGTCTTTCCCATTGTTCTCTGATTTTGATAAGGTCACCTCGAACTCGTAGAACTCGAACGCAATGACGCACTGCGATAACGATGCGATATGAAGCGTAGCTTGAATTCCGCCCTCCATCCTATAAAAGAGCTGGAGAAGCTGATCACAGTATAAAAAGCACCAGGTAAGCAAAGCTTAACTTCTCTGTGACATACAGGTTCCTGCCATTTTCGCAATATCTCCTAAGCCTAGCTCTCAAGCTTCTGCTTATGACCCCCCTTCGCTCCTTTCAAGGTCTTTTTTGGTTTCGTAACCCTACTCAAAGTAACCTTTCAGAATGATCGTCAGGACCGCCGCCGTACTTCTGGCCATGTTCAGCACTTCCCTTGCATGTAGCACCACCTGGCCAAACGGCACAGACACCACGCCGAACTGGTACCAGTGCAACAGTGGCCCCATCACCTTCTTCAATGCAACGCCTTTTGATCAAAGTGGTGAGAAAACCTAATGAATTTCAATTTTCGCCCTCATTTCCAGGCTAAAGGGTCAGTAGTCAGCTAAATCCACTAGCAAGCACTTATAATCACGATCTCCGAATAATTTTTGTAATGAATAATCGTGATGACAAAATGTAATAGTAATTATAATAATTATGAATAATAAAATGGCACTGATTTAGGTAAATACGAGTATCCCGTCCATTTGAGCAAAGCTCTGATTATCAAGTCCGACATCAACAACCCGAAGACGTCATATGGATCACCTGGTCTGAAACAGACAACAAACATCTGGAGTTGGACGACGACGTGCAGCTGGAGCTCCGTTCCCACTTTCGGAATGCTGTAAGTTTCCCTCAAAACCGATACGAGCTACATTGCAGGAATTTGGACAGAAAAGCGCTCAAAATATAGCATGTAGTAGTCAGGCTGAAGAATGTCTTTTCAGGAAAAATCTGGATGCCTGCACTAATGGCATCCCATGCCCAATCAAGACTGGACGTCAAGAATTGGACATGGTCTTGGACTTCTCACCGTATGGAGCCATCATTTCACTGCTCAAGGACGACGCTCCGTATCAGGTTCAGATGATTTTACATGACGACGTCACCAAGGCGGATGTCGGATGCATCACCTTCCAAGCAAGAGCACGAATTCAATGATTGTACAAAGTGTAGAACAAATTACTGATGATAATTGCTGTGATCTTATGGGTATTTTGCTGTTGATCCAATGAATATCGTTTCTACTTCAGAATTTCTTCTCTGCATTCTAAACTGGAGGCA